GATGATTTTTATCATCCTTATATATATATTTTTTTAGTTGCTTAGTCTTGGGTCTTTATGTGTTTTCTTGGGTCTTGCCATCAGCATTTGTTTCTCAATTGAATAGCTTAATAATGCCTATTATTTGAAGGACAAACCCTTGGCCTAGAACTTGAAAAGACTACCTGCTGTTCAATGAAAAGTATACTCTTTTGAAAAAATTTACGAGAAAAGAGTTTTTTTAGCCTTTCACCCACAAAGTACCCTAGAGCTGTTGATAGTTTATAAAGCATTGTCTTTATGACATTTAGGCATCAAGATGCTCTAGATGCTTAGGGTATCAAATATTTTAGTGAATAGCCATGAATATGAATCATGTTTGATTTTCCCCCAAAGGTGGCTTGATTTAGCTTTAACAACTTTCACTAGTGCTTGGCTAGTTATCGAAACCCAACAAGATTATCTGCACTTGTGCTTAAAGCGTCCTCTTAAAAGCGGCCAGAAGTTCACAGCTAAGAAGGTGAGTAGTTGATACGAGTTTACTTAATTTCATACAAAGTTGTTTGGAATGGGTGTTTGATACTCTTTCTTTTAATATTATATATTAATTTATTTATATACAAAAATGATTTGAATATATATATATATATATTAACTCTGCTCTCGTTATAGAATACAGCCGTTTTTTTTCTAAAAGATAAAATTTTAGTTTAGGAAAATTTAAAACTTTGTGACATCTAGGTGAGTTGTCTAGTAGCCTAGGGTAAGATGGCGGCCATTTCTTAGGTAGTCTTGGATATTTTGGGGCTATCTTAATCTCGGGAGTTGTTTTTATTCCATCTGGTTTGTTTCTTTCTCACAAATGCATTCCCTTTTCCTAGGAGAAGAAAATGCATTTTAAAATTCTGTTAGTTTCTTGTGTAACGTTTTTGCATTGGATGGGTGAATTTCTCTGTTCCTTCCTGGAATTTATAGGAAATTTCATGGCTCTTGGCTCAATGGAAGTTGGCATTGAAGTTGACATCTTTCTTTAATCTCAGGAAATTATTGTTCATCTCTTTTTGTCGAGCGCTAAGGTTTAATTTTTTTTTTAATACACAAAAGAACAGTGCCCATACATTGTATACGAATTATTGGAGAAAAAATGCTTGGGATTTAGAAACGGAAAACATGCGAATAGGTTTTGAGAAGATGTACGAATAAAATTTTAGTATTTCTGAGCTTACTGGTAGCGTTGTGTTTGAAGAAAAGAACACCACAGAGCTAGTGCTCTTACTGAAGGGAAACCCTCGCATAAATCTGTTCTAGGGACCAACAATCCCATTTCTTTCAGTCAGTGTGCACGAAATTGGGCTGGCTCACACAAGATAATAAAATATTTCTCCGATCCTATAATTTGTTCTTTTTCCTCCTGCAGGTCCAAGCTGTCGAATGGAGTTCTTCATTCACCTGAAATTGGGTAGGACCCGTTTGAATTTTCATCCTTTTTTCCTGGGTAGTCGTCTTTGTAGGATAATGTTGTCTAACATGATACCAGAACTGTTTTTCCTGGGTAGTCGTCTTCATCCTTTTTTCCGATCCTGAAATTGCTTATGGTACCAGAACTGTTGCTATCGATCTTTTGGACCTATGTAGTTTCATATCGGTGTTTTTTTAAGATCTTTTCAGCAGGCGTTTCCATTGGTGCAATATCTTAGCGCAATGCTTTGATGTATAAAGGAACACGTGTCTGAGACTCTTCGATAACTTGACCGTATGATTGGGTTTTTACTTTTTGTACGTGCAATCCACGATGAAATCTCGAGTGCCGGTCTTTTGCTATGCGAACAGCTCCATGTCACTTTTATTGAGCATTGACCAGCCAATCTCTCTTCCCTTTCTCCACAGAAGACAATGGAAGTCCAACCACTACAGTAATAATGATCTTCTAAGTTATTTTTCTCTTATGACTTGCATAAAGCCATACTCTCTCTCTCGAAACAGCAAAAAATTCCGACCAAGGGTGAGTAGGCATGCTTAAGGAAGAGTTACCGTTATACTAATAAACCTTTTGCCTTTTTTTTTTTCTTTTTAAGCAGTGGGTAACCAATTTCTAGTAAAGCTTGATTTCTCTTCAATTTAACTTTATCATAGGTGCTATTAAAATATGAAATAAGATGATCATTGGACCTTCGAAACAGAACTCCAAAAACGTAGACATGTTTCTCTGGTTGACAGTCAGAAACCAATACTCTTTTATTGCCCTGTGAAAAATCTTCCAAATAACATTTGTTGGGTTTGGGAGGAATGACTATATATATTGTTCACAGATGTTGCTTACTCGTAACCACTGAAGCATGATATATAGTGGTGGATTCTGGACGAATATTTTGAAATGAAGACATAATACAATAAGCCAAATAGATGAACGGATCATAACGCAATGAAGGATAGACACTGATAACTAGGAACATAAGAATGAGAACTCAAGATACACCGTTATTTCTTTGTTAAAGCTCAATGCTTTTTATTTTTGGAAGATATTTCAAATCGGGTCTCATCATTCCCAAGTCAAGGAAAGAGGCTGGTCTTGAGATTTCAGATAGGTTAGGATATGCCTTATTCTCCAAGTGTAAGTTCCATTCTTTTGGTAATCGGAGACATTTAAGTCTGCATCCTTCATTGCCATTCTAAGTTCTCAGGTCCACCTTATTCTCTCGATGACAGACTGACCAAAAAGCTGAGTGTAGGATTCACTTCTATATGATTGTAATTCTTTCCTTTTTTGAATTTCGTTCTCTTTGATCACCTCGTGTTCATTCATACTGTTTTGACTCAGTTGGTTCTATCATCCAAATGTTCACTTTATCAATCATTGGATAATTTGCAAATAGTGTGCTGTGTAATGCATCATTCAACGTATCCATGGCATAGTTTTGGACTCTGCCAATAAGAAATAATTTCATAATTTTGTCGATAGCAACATGCTAGCCATCGACGATCTTCAGGGAATGTAGAACAATTTCTTATTGGCAAAGTCCAAAACTATGAAATTATATACAATTTGAAACTACATTACTGCAGACAACGGGTGCAATTGCCATGGATGCATGATTCATATATGATTAAAAATTTTCTGGCTGACATGAAATCCAAAGAACGTCCTGCTAGTAAATGGTCTGTTTCAGCTCAGGTGGAGAGCATTAAATGGGACCCCCACAATGAACATTCCTTTGTGGTCAGTTGCCCAGAACTGCAATGCTCCGAATGCTCGGTTTGAAGATGTCATTCTCTTGGCAATTTGAAGTTTTGCTGTTGGGATTCGTTCGATTTAGTTTCTCTGTCACTCTTCCGCCCCACGTGTTTTTCATATTGCCTGCCGTTCTGGTTGATGTTGATGCTGCCAGGTCAGTCTTGAAGATGGTACAGTTCAAGGCTTTGATATCCGTGCCGTCAGCAGTGGCCAAGACGCGGGCTCCTCCGGTTCATGCTGCACCCCCTTCACGCACACGACAAAGCTCTTTGGTCTGTTTCCTACAAGTTGTCCGCACCTACTGTATGGTCTCAGCTCTTGAACAATTGCTGCTGCTTTTTGATTTTACTCTTGACTAGCGCTTACCTTTTTCTTATCTTTTTTGTTTGGGGGTGGGCGTCTGCGTAGCTGCTGGCCACTGGGTTCATGGATAAAATGGTACGTGCTGTTCCTGATAGTGTGATTGGTCGGGGCCTCCAACCCGTCCTCGTTCCTGATAGTGTGATTGGTCGTGGCCTCCAACCCGTCCTTGTTCCTGATAGTGTGATTGTACGGTACTGTGGCCTCTCACCAGGTGAAGCTCTAGGATTTATCCAACAGCCAACCTTCATGTGTGACGTATAAGAACCCTAAGGCTTCCACTGCTCCTTCTCTCACCCTTGAATGTTTTTTTTATTTCAGTTAACTTCTGGTTCCTTCACTTTGTCCTAAGAGAGGAATGCATCCCTTGTTGAGTTGTGGAAGGAGGCTTGATTTATTTATGAAGTGGAGTATTATTACTAACAGGGAATTGCTGAATATTTTCCAGTTACTGCCGTCTTTTTTTTAAAAAAAAAAATTCTGGACCGCAACCAGGGAGTCATCTTTTCCATCGGCTTCTCGGATGATAGCCCGTTCTCACTGGCGATAGGAGGTTCCAAGGGGAAGCTGAAGGTGGGCTCGGCCACAGCCAAAGCCGGAACGCTTTTCACCATCCTCGCTTACGGTCCTCCGCCAATCCTCGGAGGTCTGGGACACCCTGTCCGATGCCGTCATTGCAAACAGGTACAGAAATTTAGCAACAAGAAGGCGGGCCGTGACGAACAGCAGTGAAGAGCAGCACCCCTGCATCTCCAGTCGGAATTTTCAGAGAGGTTTTGAATTCACTGTACCGTGTGCAGCAGCCATAGAGGGTTTGCTGCCAGTCTCTTAGAGACGCGGATCGATCCACCCCTGTTGACCTCAGTGAAGGAGGAGGGATTACTTGAGGAGAGAGAATAGTTCTCTTGGTTGTAGGGTGCTATTTGAAAGTTTTTCTTTCCTTTTTGTTCCGTATTTAGTTACATTCTTTTGGTGATAATAAAAGAATACTCTGAATAAAAGAATTAGCATAGATGATCAGATTTTTTTGACTAACATACCGTGCACGTGAGTTCCCTCTCTCTCTCTCTCTTACTTTCTGCACCATTTGCATGTGACCAGAAGACCAGCAGGAAGATGACTATCCGGGTATTGTTGACCGTGGACTGGTCGTGGTGACGAATTCTGCCGTGGTTTTTGACCGCTGGTCATCAGTCGTCGTTATGAGAGGTGAGTCACGGTTCTACTCAGCATCTTCAACATGTTGCGCTCGTGACGTTCTTCTGAAAGCCCCCTGCGGAAGATGAGGCTGAGGTATACCTGCTGGCTGTCCGGTTCTCGGTTCTCTCAAACATGTGACCATCGTTCTTTAAAATCCTCTATCACCTTCCCCCTTTCGCCACCCCCGGAAGTTCCACAGAATCTAGAGAGAGAGAGAGAGAGAGGAGAGATGACGATGATGCCCTCTATCGAGGCTCTGGCCATGATGGGGGCAGACTGCGAGGAATGTGCTATCAAGTTCCCGATAGCGGACGACGATGTCGAAAATCCGCCTCTGCATCTTCTTCTTGACGAGGAGGAGGCGACCCGAGGAGGGGCGGCTGCTACGTACTGGTGGCTGCAGGGCGGCCGGGCATGGGATCGGGCGGGGATGGAGAGGCGGCTGGCAGCATGGGCGAAGGCTGTTGCCAATGTAGTTTTAACTTGAGGAAGCGCCGCCTTCCCGACTGAGTTTTCCTATAATTCTTATATAGGCGCCCTGGAAATAAGTCCAACCAGGAAGAAGATTATTTGAACGCCGACTGTAGACGGAACTTGTAGGAAAAATAGCGGAATAAACCTGCAAGAGAAGCAATCGTTTTGGAGAGAAACTATATGGGAAAGAGAGTAAGAGAGGAGACGGTTCGCACGCTCACGAACCCTAGAAAAGGATGAAATGAAATATTCAACATAAAAGAGTATTTATAATTACATATAAAATGGACTGGCCACTTATGGCCCATTGAAAGATACGACAACTTTAGCCCACTAAAAGACAAAGAAGGACCTAATACAAACAAAAAATAAAAAATATTTTTTGCATGAAATACTAACACTCCCCCTTAATGCAAAAATGTTTAAGACCAAGAGCTTCTCTAAATTTCATGAATTTAAAATGTCCAAGCACCTTTGTAAAGCCATCTGCCACTTGATCCAATGTTGAACAGAATTTCATTTCAATAAAAATTTTGGCAATTAAATCTCGAATAAAATGGTGTCTTATCTCAATATGCTTTGTTCTTTCATGAAATACTAAATTCTTCGTCCTAGAAATAGTTGACACATTGTCACAATAGATCACTACATGCATTCACTGTGGAATATTGATATCTTGTAAAATCCTTCTCATCTATATTGCTTGTTGTGTAGCTAATGATGCAGCAATATATTTGGCTTTAGAAGATGATAATGCTGTAGATTCTTATTTCTTATAAATCCATGAGATTGCACCTGAACCAAAGTTGAAAACAAAATCACTATCTGAATAACTAGAAAAATTAAATTCAGTATCATGTTGATATAGAATTCCATAATTAATAGTGCTATGCACATATTGAAGTATTCTTTTTGTTGCTCCAAGATGATGAACATATAGTGAGTACGTAAACCTTGAAATGATATCAATTGAAAATAATATATTTAAACGAGTATGAGTCAAATACATCAAACCACCAACAATGCTTCTATAAAAGTGTTCATTTATTTTTGTAATCCCATCATCAAGTTATAATTTTTCGATTATATTCATAAGAGTAAAGTAAGTCTTGCAATGAAACATATAAAACTTTTTCAACAAGTCACATGTATATTTTTCTTGTGAAATAAATATACCATGATCATTTTGAATAATTTGAAGTTCAAAAAAATAATGAAGTAATCCCAAATCCATCATATCAAATTCAGCCATCATATCATTCTTGAAATTTAAAATTAGTGAAGAAGAAGATCCAATGTATACAATATTATCAACATAAACACATACTATCAAAATATCTTTATCTTGAGTTTTGATATAAAGTGTTGGCTTATTCTCAGTTCTATACAAGTAATACTTGTGAAAATATGAATCAAGTCTTCTATACCATGCTCTTGGTGCTTGTTTAAGGCCATAAAGTGCTTTCTTTATTTTATAAACTTTGTTCTCTTTTCCTTCAAGAATAAAACCTGGTGGTTGCTCAACATATATATCTTCATTCAAATAATCATTCAAAAATACTGATTTAACATCAAATTGAAAAACTTTTTATTTCATTTAAGCTACCCTGGCTAAAAGAATACAGATTGTTTCAAATCTTACAACTAGAGAAAATGTTTCAAAGTAATCAATACCTTGTTGCTGTGCATATTCCTTCACTATTAACCTTGTCTTGTATTTTTGAACATTTTCTTCCGGTTTATACTTCACTTTGTAAACCCATTTGACTCTAATTACTTTTCCCTTTTCTGATAAATTCATCAACTCTCATGTATCATTCTTCTCTATTGCTGTAATTTTTTCTTGCATTGCCTTCTCCCATTCATCTGTCTTGTGCCTCCTCATAGCTTGTTGGTTCTACAATCATAAGAGTAAAAACACATGATTCATAAATATCACATACAAATTTTATTTTTCTTGGAAGACTTGATGATTTTAAACTTGAATCGTTTTGGCCATTAATATCACTCGCATTTCTTAAAGAAGATCTTGAAGGTGTGACGCATGAAGTAGAAGCTTCACCTATTGAATCTTCACCATTATGTATAATTTTTTGCCCATTTTCATAAGAAGAAATTTGATGAATTGGATCTGCATTCCAATTCTAGCAAGCATATTCATCAAATATAATGTCACAAAAAATCAATAATCTTTTTGCTTCAGGATTATATAATCCATAACTCTTGTATTCATCATTATATCCAAAAAAATATATATTTTTCACTCTTTTTGTCATCTTACCATGATTATCAGCATTAATTAAAGCATAAGATATGCAACCAAAAAAGTTTAATGACTAACATTAGTCTTTGGATGATACCAAGCTTCATAAAGAGTCATATTCATCACCACTTTTACAGAAGAAATATTTAAAAGATAAATAGAAGTTGCAACAGCTTCAGTCCAAAAATCATTAAGAAAATAGTTCTATTATTTCTTTCAGCAATATCATTTTACTCTAGAGTTTTTCTAATAGTGAGTTATTTTTTAATTCTATGCTTCTTACAAAATAACTCAAATTCATGAGAAATAAATTCTCCCCCTCAATCTGTTCAAAGAGTTTTAATGACATGCCCACTTGATTTTTCAATAAAATCTTTGAAATAAATAAACTTTTCAAATGCTTCAGATTTATGAGAAATAAAATAAACCCAACTCATATGTGTGAAGTCATCAACAATCAATAAAAAATATTGACTACCATTTAAGGTTAATATCCTCATTGGAGCACATAAATCAGCATGTAATAATTCAAGAAGAAACCTTGCTCTTCATGATTTGTCAATAGGAAATGATAATCAATGTTGTTTGTCATAAACACATCCTTCACATATTTTCTCATTTGCTGAGATATAAGGTAAACCAGCAACCATATGCTTGTGATGTAATAATTTCAATGCATTAAAGTTTAAATGACCATAATGTATATGTCAAAGTGAAGATAAATCATTTTCTTTTGTAATCATGTAAAAATCAATGTCTTGAAATATCAAGAGGAAACATCCTCTTTCCAACCTTAGGAATCACCATTAGAGTCATGCCACTCTTCTTATACTTGATAACACATCTATCATCTTTGAAATGAATAATAAAGTCACATTCTAATAATTGATCCAAATTAAGCAAGTTATGTGCTAACTTTGAAACAAAATAAATATCATGAATTAATGTATTTGCCCTTGATTTAGTATGAACAGTAATAGTACCAATGCTTTCAATTTTCACACTATTTTCATCACCAATAGTAACATTACAAATCATAGAGGTCAATATTCTGAAATAAATCTTTTTCACGTGTCATATGATTGCTGAATGACTATCAATAAACTATATATTTGATGTACTTGAGCTTGAAGAAATATTAGTTATAAACAACTTATTTTGATCATTTTCTTCAATAATATTTGCTTGCTCCTTTTTTTTGTCTCAACAATTTGCTTTAACATGACCATACTTCTTGCAAAAATTACACATTGGTTTAAAATTCTCTTCTCTCATATTTTTTTTATTTTTTTGCCTTTTCATAACAATATGTTTCAATGTGACAATATTTCTTACAAAAATGCCATTGCATAATTTTGTAATTTGGTTTTACATTTTTTTTATTTCTTCCATTATTTGTTTGCTACCAATAATATGATCTACCATGTCCTCTTCCATGGCTCTATTTTGATAGTGTCCTCTACCACGTTCTCGTTGTGTAGATGTACCTTCATTAATTTTCTTATTCTTTGAAAGTTCAACCTTTGCTTAAAATGTTTGTTCAATAGATTTTTTTCTTTTATCTATTAATTCATTCTTCATGTGCTAACAATGCTCCAACCAACTCATTTTGCATATAAATAGATAAATCCTTAACTTGTTCAATGATAGCCATAATATGATCAAATTTAGAAGTCAAACTTTTAAAAAAAATTAATAATTTTTTTTCATAAATATCTTCACCAAATATTCTCATTTGATTTATAATAACAACAACTCTAGAAAATAAATTATGCAATGATTCATCTGATTTTATAAAATATTTTCAAATTCTCAATGAAGAGTTTGAAGCTTCACATTCATAACAATGTTATCACCATGAAATTCATCTCCCAAAAATATTCATACTTCAAATGAACTTGATGCATTAATAATTCATGGAAAAATTACTTTTAAAACTGATTGCTGTAAAAATAATAATGCTTTGGCATCTTTTTCCTGAAATTCTTTATTTTTTTATCTTAAAGTCTCTCGTTTATTTTCACTCTCAACTAACTTCCATAGATCTTAAGAAATAAAAAATGTCTTATTTTTAATGCTCCAGAAATTATATCTCTCTCCATTAGAAAACAAAACAAGGGTTGTGAGAAATTTAGGGGATTAACATTTGTCATGTCACTATCTATGACGATACCTCTTCACGTAAATATTGATTCAAATCTTCAAAATCCTTGCTACGGCAAGAAATCTCTAAAAAACACCAAATAAATTTCACAAACCTCGAGTTTCTTCTCTTTAGATGATGCTGACCTCTCCATAGAAAAACTGACTCCCAATATGCAAACTTGGCACTCTAATACCACTTGTACGAAAAAGAGTAGAATAAACTTGCAAGAGAAGCAATCATTTTGGAGAGAAAATAGATGGGAGAGAGAGTAAGAGAGGAGACAGTTTGCACACTCACGAACCCTAAAAAAGGACAAAATGAAATTTTCAATATAAAATGAGAGAGAGAGAAGAGTATTTATAGCCACACATTAAAGGATTGACCACTTATGGCCCACTAAAAGGCACAACGACTTTAGCCCACTAAAAGACAAAGAAGGGTTTAATACAGACAAAAAATGAAAGTTTTTTTTGCATTAAATACTAACAAAACTATATGTTGGTGACCATAGGTTGTGGTGCCCAAAGAGGACACTTCTCACTTTGTGTGATGTCAGTTTCAAATAAAATGGAGTGAATAGGGCATAACTCTAATTATGAAGTCATTTTCATTCATCATGATATCTGATACAATTTTTCATTACATCTTCTAAGGCTAAAATAAGATGAGTGCAACCAACATATTGATGGAGAATAAAATTGTGTGAACTCTATGTAAACTATGTCATGTGACACGTGGCTTTAGATATATTACATGCAATGGATTATTATTTTAGAGTTCAAGACGACAGAATCAAACATGCTTCATTGCCCCAGACACATTGAATTATTGACAATAGATGAACATTCTTATTAGCCACATTTTGAAATGTGCTATTTTGGTCTTCTTGATCCATCATTTTGTTGTTGCTCCCAATTAACTTGGAGATTTTAAGGTGTTTCTTGTTATTCAAAGGTGTTTCTTTGCTACGCTCCCCACCTTAATACATGGTCACTTGTTAGGGTTGGTATGACCTTAGTACCAGACCAATGTGTGAACCACCCTTGAACTTGACACACTGATGGAGATATTTGCTTGGCTTGCTGTATGGCCACTAAAAGGAAAGATCAAAGAGAATGGAACAAAGTGGAGCTCAACTCTCATGGTTTAATTCATGCAATTAGTCTATAGAGTGATGTGTCTTGAATTGGAAAAATCTTGAGGATTTAATACAACCCACCCAAGTAATCAAAAGGAAAAGCAGGCCTGATAGCCTTCTTCCATAATAAATTTTATATGTCCCATTGTGAATTTGAACCTGCCTTGGATGTCCTCAACTCAACACTTGAATACCCCATAGATGGCTCTCATTCCTTGGATCTTTGTCTCCTTTGCCATGCACACTAGCAACTTTGTCGAATCTTTGTTGCTAGTGATATAGTAAGGAGAGAGGAATTGGGGAGTAGTCTTGAGGATTTACTAGGGCAAAAGGGGGAGGGATATGGTTGAGGAAAATGCTCATTTGTCTTTCCCCTATTTGTCTTTGTGAGTGAATGGGAAAAACGAGATTGAGCAAGGAGGGTATCTTAAACAAGGGAACAGAAAGTTGTCTTTTGTGATTGTTAGATGATCAATGAGACACCTTCGTATTGCACACAATTAGTTTATGAGAAACTCTACTCTCAGCAGCTCTACAGTGCAATGAGAGAAGCAACTCTTTGAGGGTGTCTATGGATCAATAATAACTAGAGAAAAGGCTTGGGTTGGCTAAACATCCTTTTCTCATCCTTTCTTTTCATTTTTGACCTATTTTCATGTCAAAGTTAGAGAACAGAAAAATACTTTAAATAGAATAACAAGGGATAGTACCATCCAAACACTTATTTATGTACCTCAATGGCTGTTCTTCATATTATATGTTGGCTTCAACAACTATAGGTACACATGATCAATGATGTGCATTGAACCCTAGACACATTACTGAGAAAATGTATGAAGATCCTATCTACATGTCACATCCATCTGCTAGAGTAGTGCATGTGCCATTGGCTATCAACTTACCAAAAGCCTGAATTATTAAAATGTGCCATGGTGGTTGTTTCCCTTTACCCTATATGCCCAACTACCAACTCAAATAAATGCTCTTAATGTCTTTGGCATAAAATTTCTTCCATCTCTCTAGTCTCTTGTCGTAAGGCAATGAGAGAACGAACTGATTTGAAACATTGTTGGGATAATTTTTGAGACATATCTGAAACATCGTGTCTTTTATGCCATAGCTCTTAATTTTGAAACTCTATGGCATCTTGTATGCCATAACTCTACAAAATATTTTAAACAATTGAAGACACACCTACTATATGTTAAGCATGAGGAAAAAAGTGTCAAGTTCTAAAAGAATTAAACTCAATGAAAAGAAATTCTAAATAGAGAGATTAGTGATAAGTCTTCATTATCATGAATTAATAATTAGTAAATAATATAGTTTTAGCCTTAACTCATGATAAATAGACTTATATTTATGTTAAAGTGTGAAAAGTGGTTTTCAATTGATTAATGTGAATTTTTGGATAATTATATAATTTTACACAAATTTATATGATTTTTATAATCTTACTTTTGAGATAAATGAAGAAAAAGAAATAAAAAATTAAAAAAGATAAAATGAGGGGGACCTACTAGCCAGTTGGGCCCGCAAGTGGGTCGGAAGCTCAGTCAAGAAGTAGCCACAAATAGGGGCTCGAGCGGCTTGGACTGATAGGGGCACATGTGTGCCACTCCCCTTCTACATCACTAGTGGCTAGTCGGCTATGGGGCAAAGAGTGATTGTACACGCGAGAGAAGGGACTTGCTCAAAAATGAAATATTAGTATATATATGCTTGAAAAATTAGCGCACAACTGATGTGGGACTAAACCGGCCTTCTTAAGAAAGGGTAGGCAACTGACGTGGGTTTGAATCCTCCCAAAGCCAAAACTCATATTTTTTTTATCTGATTATCACGACTTTCCTATAAATTGTCGGTGCAAGATTAAGTAACTAGAATCACTAGATCAGTAGTGAAAATCTCATCAACACGATTTGCAGAGCATTATTACTAAAATTGTTGAATGATTTGTGATAAAAGGATCGTGAATCCATCAAGTAAAGCATCTCCAATTAATCAACGAACAAGCCGTCGTCAGGAAGAGGACGATCTACTAGGAGACGAGTCATCACCTCCTGAGAGCGTACTAGATGCGATGAAGAGCCTCCTCTTGCTGCACGGACCTGAGGATGAAGCTCCTTGACACGTGCCCCACCTCCATCCAACTCTTCTCTATTAGGTGACAGCCACTAGAGAGCCGCAAAGTCGTTGTTTTTTCGTTTCCCTAGGTGACAGTTGCTAGAGATAATTTGATGACTCATTTCATTAATCTCTAGACTTCGCAAGGAGATCTAGAGATTGCCCACGTCGTCTTTGTCCAAAGTGAGCCTTCGAGGCCATAGACACTACACGACAATCCTCCCGAATGCTTAGGATTCTGGTACATCGCCGACGCATCGCTATCGTGATGCTGGAACTCTATTTTCCTACTTTTAACTTACTTTACACTTCATTTAGTGATAATTTGTGTGATTTTAATTTACCAAAAGATACTTCGTTTAATTATGATTCTTCTGGCTTTTACAAATCTTAATTTGATTAATTAAATCATTTGTAATCACTTACATAAAAATTGTCAAATAGAACTCTATTTCTACCCAATTTGCATTCGCCGAGCGTTGATGTCATTCTGATGCCCGCACCCTTATTTCCTTTTTTCGTGAATCTTAAATATATTTCCTTTTTATTTCTTAGTATAAAATTCATAGAAAATTGTATTCATTAAGAAAAATTATGAATAATTACTAGATATTATATTACATCCTTATGATTGACCTGAAAAATTATCGCTATTTTTTGGAAGTTTTATTAAATTATAATTTATATATTTGTTCATAAATACTTCTAAATATCCAAAAAATCATATTTTCTAATTTTATAAATTTTAAATTTACGTGATTTACTATACAACGATTGAGTCGCATCAATCAGCATTTATTAGAAAATAACCTTCATAGATTAAGTATGCTAAAAACTCACTAAAAGTAGTTCGAATGCATTCTCACCTTTTTTGCATCTCTTAGAGATGACATAAATAGGATTAGAAAATTAAGGATATATCAAAAATCAAGCATATTATGCATTTAAGACTGTAGTCAATCAATAGTATATCCCATAATAGCACAAATAGAGGTAATCTCTCCTACATTGATGGGATAATAGATGTGCTGAAAATTCTGTACAATGTGCAACTCAAAAATTCTGGTATTTTGAAGACGTTATTGATAGTTATCTTCTTTATAGATAGATGTACTTGTTTCCTTCGGTTGGCTCTCCCCTTTTCTCTTCTCCCTTTCTTCTGGCTCTCACCCTCGTAAGCCCCTAATTGGTGTTAATACAAAAAGATTGACTTAGTTGGTACACTAGAATCATTTGGTGACTTTGGTATTAGGAAAGGTCTCAAAGAGAAAATGTGTGGAGAAAGATCTTAAATAGTCAAAATGATGTAAGTAATGAGAACTCTTAAAATAGTCACAATGGGAATTTAGCTATACAACTACATTTTTGTCCCAAATTCCTGAAAATAAACATAAAAATAACATTACTTATGATGAGGACTGCTAAAATAGGTTAATGTCCATTATTGGTCCTAGATCTCCATCGCAATGGAAGGACAGGCCCTGGTTGTTCATTTTGAGGAATAAACCTATGATAACATTGTTGCGTGCAGATCTCTTTTACCTAGACCAAGAATGGTTCTTTCAACATATTTGTTGGCAAAGGGAGAGCTGTACTCATGACAACAGTACTCCCAACGACTTAATCGTCCATTGCCAACATAGTAGGTGACTCTATATTTCATTCCAATGAGTAGATTTCTGTTATTCTAGACTGAATGATTGCTAAAATATTTCGAGGAATCTAAGGTTAGAAAAACCGATAGCCTTGTGGAGAGAGAATTCTTTTCAAGGAGCATGACAAGATATCCGAGAAAATAGTATTTCACCTACTCTGGATGCTTCATGAATCATCCACATCACACCACAAAGGTCAACCACTCGCTGGTTAGGCGGTCCTCCATGCTGACCATGCTGTTGTTCCCGGTCATCTTTCGATGGAGAAGGGAGCTGGTAAAATGCGTTTTTGGATTATCCTCAACATTCCTCACTTCCATATCATGGTTGCAAGGCAGACGACTATCCAATTGTATGGACTGGTCTTAGCGACTATATCTGCCATCAATTGGTGCCTCTGGTCATAAGTCGTCGGTAAAAGGCAAGTTTTGTTTAAAGCTATGTTTTCAACATTTTAACCGAATGTAAGGATCACCTGTTTCCTTTTAGGGATCAGAGCGTCCTCGCTCTAACTTATTGTACAGTAGAAGTCCGATGCAAAACGAAACAGGAGAGAGAGAGAGAGAGAGGAAGAGAGTGGTGAGAAACAAGGAAGACACCGGTTCTACGTAGTTCAGAGAAACCTCATACATCAACGGCTTCACACAGAACAAGCTTCCTTCCAGAGATTGTCCCTTACAGCCTTCGGGCGCGAAATTGCACGCCTCGACTACGTGAGTTAGGATGTGTCCAAGGGGCTACGGCCCCAAGAGAAAATTTTAATTTTTAGGGACATATTTGTCCTTTGTCCTCATGTTGTTTTTATCCTAATCTTATGCAGTGGCCGTGGATGTAGGAGGTTTTTCCAAACCACGTAACTCCGGTGTCTTCCTTGTTTTTCGCCATTCCGTGCCTCTCACTCGCTCATGTTTCGTATTGCATCGGACTTCCACTGTACAACAAAAGGGGAGATGAGGACGCTCCGATCCCAAACTTTTCCAACCCCGTGCGTGTGATCCTTTTAGATGGTGACAACGTTATGGGGCTGCCAGCTTTTGGAGTTTATTGAGCATGTGAACCACGTGACTAATCACGCGGTGGAAGGAGTCTGTAGAGCATCCTGATGCCTATACATGTATCCCTTAACCCTTCCCCCAGTCAATGATGAGAGAGACAGGATGGTAGACTATCAAAGCTCTGGCAATGGCAGGGGTAGACTATAAAACCTGTGGAATCTCCTTTCAAATGGTAGACTACGATGTCCATGATCTCCCACCACTGCATCTTCTCGATCAAGAGGAGATGACTTAATAGGCGCCTTTTACGTACTCGTGGCTGTATGAGGGAGGCACGGCAGGGTCAGGCAGAGACGGATAAACGGCGATGAGTGTTGCAAATATCCTTCGCCAGCAGAACTTTTATAGTTTTTACTCTTTAAATATTGACTAGGCACTTGAAAATAGTCAAATTAGAAAATTGGCTTTCTAAATGTCGAAATTATCGCAGAGAATTGCAGACCATTAAGCCAGACATCACTTTGTTCTCCTTGGTCCTCCTCAGGCGTTAGCATTTGATGAGAGCACATATTGAGCAGTATCGGTTTCACTTTCTGGGCAAAGCCATCCGCCATTAAGCTCCGCCAATTTCAGGTCCTCCCTCTTCTGTGATTCTACGTTCTTGTAAATTAAACTGACCAACTCATTCATGGTAGCAGAACTTTGATTGCAATATAATGCCAGAAATTACAACTATTTATTTATCTTTCCATCTCTCTCTTCTCTCCCTATATATGCATATACACCTATCACCCTGGAAAATTGGAATCATTTAATCATCTATCCATCTTTTTCTCTCTATATGTATGTATACATTTCTGTATAAGTTCGAACTATTTATTCGTATGGGTATATTCCTAAATATAGATATTTATGTATATCTCTCTTTAAATGGAATGAATACGGCGTATGGATACGAATGTTGTCGCCTACCTCTCTCTCTCTCTCGCTCGTATCCTTCATCAGTCGCTTCTACATCTTTGTTGGTGCCTTTATATCCCGTTCGTGGAAGCTATCTGGTGAGGGAGGACGGAGGGCTCAAACGCACTTCTTATTACCAGCTCACGTGCAGGCGAGACCAAGATGTTTCCAGAGCTTGGAAATCTCCATACGCGTTCGTGAGTAACGTGATAACGGTGACACTCCGTGTGCAAATCTGTCCGTGCTGGTCGCTGTCGGCAAGCACGATAATAGCTCTAATAGACTTTGGTCAAATACTAGCGACGAACGGAATCAATATTTCCGCCTTCAATCTCACCATCATTATCACGGTCATCAGCAACGAGGTCTTACTTCGCCGGCTGCCAAGGTGTTCCAAGGTGTTGAAAGATAGAAGAAAAGAGAACAGTTGAAAAATAGATACATCCTTCCATTTAAACGGTGATAGTTTTTTTCAGGGAAGTGATTAGTAATGAGCGCCATCGATTTAAAGCTGTTTCATGTGAAGAACTGCGTATCATCAAAATCTCAACTTCATCAGCTATTTCTGATGCAGCGTTTCATGAACATCCGCTTATGGCTTATTCGAAACATTTACCCTTCTGAAAGATGAAAGCCAGAGTCCGTGCGTCATCCTTGTCGCGATCATCATCTTCCTTCCTCTTTTGCTGCGAGTCGATGAAGGGAAAGAGAGACGGAGGTGATGAGACCAATACGATACCAGTGGCATCCAAATACCTATTTTACTGATTGTGCCGTCCATCCACGTTCATAAGCAGTCACAATAGCAGACAACAGAGGCCCTAGGTTTTGCAAATGTGGGTACCTTAGACAGATGAATAATAATGTTAAAAAATGATCACTTGGAAGACTGCGCCATTTCTTAGTTGTTGGAAAATACAGTAGACGGCATATACATCGACTTCGCATAGGTCTGGATGTTCGAGTAAAAGCATTTAGTCTCATTTGGTGAATGATAAGAGATAATTCCATTCTCCGAATGATTTCTGTCTCGGTCTCGGTCTGTCTCACTCTCGCTTGCTCGCTCCCTCTCTCTCCCCCTCTTTCTCCATCCGTCTGTATTTATGTCTGTATATCCCTCCTCTGTGTGCTGTTCTTATGTCTCTGCGCGTTTGCATTCTCTCCTTCCTAAACTTTCACCATTATCACAAGGATAATTTATAAAATCCTCCCAAAAATACGTTGATTATAAAGATATTATCCCGATGGGAGGCTAGATTCAAACGCGAACTGAGCCACGAGTAAAAATTGCTTTCCAATGGAAAGAATAATCGTGTCAGTAGTGTGTATTTGCAGAGATTACATCTCGTGAGTTTGTCATTGGACTAGTAATCCTGCAGAGCACTAAGCAGGAGGTTTCATCATTTGTAAATTGCTGCCTCGTCAACTGTGATACCTTTTTGACCTATGTTTGGCCTTCACCTCTATTCTTATCGGGAAAATTATTTTACTAATAGAAATTAAGAATACAGTATACTGACTTTGCTATAAAGTGACACTCATTCCTATTGATTATACCTCATCTAACGTCGCACATATTAAGACGTAGTATCAAGAAAATTGACAACGATGAACATCTTCTGAGATGAGCATCAGTTGACCACTTACGAGATTATTCTTGTTGTACCACTAGTTGCTATGGTTGAGCGAACAGGAATTTCCCTAAATTGTACTTGTGCAATTACTCTGTGTACAGAAGGAGCCTATGGCCGAGTGCGGTTAAAGTAATCATCAGAACTTCTTAGGAATCATCCTTATCAATGAATTAAATTGGGTGACACTTGCCTTACTAATTAATCGGAATTAAAGTCTGTTTTATTCGGGCTTTCTCTATAGTACTATTCAAACCAGTGTGGTGAGAAGGTGCATGGAATCATATGCACGAAGCATGGAGAATAATTCACCAGACAGCCACAGGCTGAGGGAGAGTTGGTGATGGACGAGGAGTCAGTTATTTAAAATGTAAGGGTGATAATTCTGAGAAAGGCATGTAAATATTAGAAGGAAACAGTTATTTACAAAGTTCTAGGAGCTCGTTAGACGCTCATGATAAAGGAAATGATTGTGATAATTTTCTTGTGTAAATGAAAATCCATCTGAAAAAATTTCTACAATGCATGATTTTATCTAAGCCATAAAATTAAGGTTCAAATCCAAAGCACTAAAGGTTCAGTTGAATCTGTTTCAAATTTTGTTTCCACTATGCACTACTGCGCGTGAAAACTTCTCTTCACTACAGCTATGTTTACCCATGAGGTATGAAATACAACTAAATAATCATTGACCGATCAGTCTGGAGGAATAAACAGTCATTCCATGTTTACAGAGCCGTTTCTGGATTTTACTATTTCAGCGGTCTAGAATACAAAAACAAATCCCCTCTCTGGCTTGCTATCAAATTGGCGACGGTCCTCGCCCATGCGACTAGCCGTCTTTTCAGCTCCAAGGGCTTGCACTGCCAGCGCTCGTCAGGCCACGACGAATTGGTATAGGTTACTGGTAGTGTCTGATTGCCGTGAAGAAGCTGAGAGTCTGGAGACGAAGGGACATTGGCATTGCCGACCACGTAATTTACTGCCGCAATAGGAAGAGCTTCCATGGATAACTTTTCCATTGTCATTGGATTTGCAGAACCCTCATATCGGGCCTCTTCCTCACGGTCGATGAGAAGATGTGGAGGGGGCAGTGCGTCCGCATCATCATCCAATTCGCTGAAGTTGATTCCTAAAACTTCATAGTCTGCCCCTGCCATGGCCAATGCTTCCATCGACGCTATTGATGTCATCCTCCCCCCCTCTCTCTCTGTCTCTTTATCTCTCTCTATCCCTATCTATCTTTCTTCCTCCCCTTAGGAAGCTCCTTTCGTACTGGAGAAAGGATTGGAGGATTTATATAGGCACTGAGACGCCCTACGGAGGTTGCGTATTCTGTATTTCCGGTCACAGGAAGAACGAAAGTCATGAGTTTATGGAATTGGAAAACGCGACGAATAGAACTTCTCGTTGACGAAGAGAGAGATATACAGGTGTAGGAAGGGTTAGCGCCCAGAGCCGGCGAAAATTCACGTGTTGGAAGACCAGCCTGATAGCAACGTAATGATCTTGACCTTCCAGAAACCGCCTTGGAGAGAGAACGTTACAGCTGCACATTCTTCACGCTTCCCTGTTGACGATACTTGTTGAATGTTGGTCTTGACTGGGAAACAATCTCTAGACTCCTTATTGACTGGGAGATTAAGCCATCTTTGATGCTTTACATTTTTCCGGTCTAATAACCTTCTCAGGTACTTTTGAACGTAAAAGAGGGGGTTAAATAGAAAAATAGAGCTATCTACATTCTGTGCAGGTTTTTTAGAAATTATGGAATTCTCGAAAAGCTTCTGTCTATCATAATTACATGCTAGGAAACAAATAAAAAATATACATCATTAGGTTGATACACCAGAATTTTTCGAACCCCTTCGGGTATTTATTCTACATAAAACTTTTATGTAAGACTGGAAAGAAAAACTTTGACAGTAGTATGGGATTTGGCTGGAGGGACTAGCAACGGCAAGGAAATAATAACACAACTTTGACATGCAAAAGCATACAAGCAATGCTGAAATTTCCAATATAATTGTAGTTAGAAGGAATAGTAAAATTATGGAGAATCCATACATAAAGTAAGGTGGAAATTTAAAGGTTAACCTGTAGACAGCTCCAACACATTCTGCTCGTCAATCGAGTACACTTTCATAGATTTTGTGCTCACCTTCTGCTCAGATTTTTTTTTCTCATAGTGGAACTACCAATTTTCAATATAATATGGTCAAATGTTCTTAGAATACTGAAAATGGATATTTTAGGATTTTACACAAATCTCTCTGAATTGATTAAAATTTTACTAATTTCAATCCAGGATAACTACCAAATATTTAACTTTCAAAGGGTTTTCTCTTAATTTACAAATTTCAGTTTCCATGAAGATTTTGTCTAAATAAATATCCAAAATTTGTGGTGGCCTTTTATCATAAATTAAATAATGATAAAAGGAATTGAGAAGCTTTTACAATTGATAAATCTCTTTTAAATTAACCTTTTAACAATACAACTAAGCCTCTTTGAATACTAACAACAGTTCAACCTTCAAGAAAAAACAAAATATATGTGCACATAGAATTTAAGTAACCTCTATTCATTGCCCTTTATGTGAATACAAACAAAGATTTATTTTGATGAGCTTTCCAATCTATTGTTCAGTTTTGGGGGATGTGAATAGAGAGGTATTGAAGGATAACAATAGGTTTCCATCACCACCTCTAAAATAATTACTCTATTCCTTTTCCTAATGTGTGCTTCATCTAACTTGCTCCAGATCTGAAGATTTCATGCATTCAATTGACTTAAGTATCAATCTCTCACTTGCTCAAATATCCACTAAGTTTTTTACATGGATTGCTAATTAGATTTTAAACTACACTTAGATCAAGAAGGGACAATTTAATTGCTATTATGTTAAATTTGAGTTTTTACTAAATTTTTTATTTTCTTTACTTTTTAATTTATCTTAAATAGTTTTAATATCCAAATTTAAATCTTATTGACACTTAGAATTTATAGCTTTCTGCTACTTACCTATGTCCACCTCCAAGAATACCTCATTCATAGTTTCAACTAACTAATCATTTACTAGCAACTATTGATTATTAGGCTTTGCTTCCATAAAACTTCACTAATGCATTCTCTTATAAATTCACAACATTAGGTGGCCCGAAATGGATTATAGGATCCAGATTACTATAGTGATGAACTCAAACTTAATCATAAGTTTATGCCACACAAAAAACAGAATATCATTGTTGGATCTTTTTGGTAGTGGATGAAGGCTTGAATCACATTTGAAAAAATTCAATGAATTAAAAGCCAAATTGCACTTGATTCTCCTTTCCCTCTTATGGTTAGAAAATGATCCCATTTATGAACAGCTATGGCTGAAATTAGGTTGATTCAGATCAATATTTTTACCAGAATTTGCTCCTCAATACATTACTCATTGTTGGGCCACCCTTCTAAGACAAATCAAATGCACATATAATTCTCTATAAAAATTATTAGGAACAATTTAGAGCTTATATAGATGGAGGATGATCATTCAGAATTTATTAGCCATTGTAGATAGGTTAATTTATTCCAATATTTGAGTTGCAATCTTCTCCTACTTTTCACCATTATTCAATAGAAAAACTCAAAAACTAGTGAAAAATTAGAACAGTTCAAAACTCATAGGATGCATCCTTTGAGGTTTCAGAAATACTCTAAGGTTAAACTAATAAATATAGTCTTACAACATTAATATATATATATATCAGAAGTTATTAGTTGTACTATACCTAATAAGAATGCATTGTCATTAAAACACACTTATTTATATAACTAATGTAATTATTTCAAACAAAGTTAAATGCAAATTACCTCATATAAAATATATTTATGATGTAGACATATAGAATCATCATATTAACATTGGAAACCATCACTTCATTAACATATAATATTCCAAAATTATTTTTCAATTAGTCTTAAATAATATTCATAAAATCCTGAATAATTTTTAATACAAATCCACTTTAATCATTTTTTATAAAAATTATTTAAAATAATATTTTATTATTATTATTTTATTTATATTTTTGGTATCTCATTCTCATAAATAAGAGATATTTTAGGTACTAAAAGCATTGAAAATCTTCAAGAAGCTGTGATGCCCATTTAGTCCCACATCAGTTATTTTCTGACTTTTGAGATATATATATAATAACACAAGAGTTTATCATCAATGAATCCTTCTCTCATATGTGTACAACCATTCCTTGTCCCATGCTTGGCTGGCCACTAGTGATGTGGAAAAAGAGTGACGCATATATGCCTATTGCTCTCTTAGTCACTTGGGCCCTCTGCTCAAGGTTCTATCGAACTATGCTTCTGACCCACTTGTGGACCTGGTTGCTTAGCTGGTCCACCATTTTTTCTATATTTTTATTTTATGTTATTTTTTTTATTTATCTCAAAACATGATTATAAAAATTCACATAAAATCAGATAATTAACCAAAAATTCACATTAACTAACTAAAAATGACTTTTTATAATTTAATATAAGTATAAGTCTATTTATCATGAGTTAAGGATTAGAATATATTATTAATTAATTATTAACTCATGATAATGAAAACTTACCAAGATTCCTCAAATTTTAGGATTATTGTAAATTTTAATTCATTACCACTATTGATAGAAATATGTCATAAAATCACAGTTGCATAGATCAATTTTGATTTCTTTCGACTTGATTTGAAATCACAATTGCACACACCATTTAGCTATCAAGTTAATCATCTTTATTTAAAGTTAATACCTAATTTAGAAGTATAGGCATTGTCACCTTATCTATTGTAAACATTTACATTTTAATGAATATCAAAATAGTCATACAACAATCTAATCTGAAAATGATTGTTAGACCACTATCTTAACATTTATTAATACAAACCAAGCTATGACTAAGTTCATTATCAAGAAAAACACATTAGCCAAATTACGATTTATTTTAATTTTTGTGGTTATCTAATATTAATATTTTCATTTTCATGATTGTAAAAAATAACTTATATCATTAAAATGAAATAAAACAAGAAGCCATTTTTTTTCTAATTATGGGTATTTCTTATTCATTGTAAAACTACATATCAAGGTTTCCTTCTAATAATTAAAGTTGATTTTTAGTTCAACAATGTAAACTAATTTGGTTTGAATTTTATTAAGAACAATAAATAAGGCTTCTTTAAACACCCATATTCGTTTATTTTATTTCTAGTTATATGAAAACATATTATTTAAAGTGTGTCCAAACACATGAGTAATAGTTGTTGGGTTTAGAAACATTAAGCATTTTCATGGTGAAAAAGGGAATATCTAATAGTAGAATGATGAAATTTTGTTGCTCACTATCTACATAATGATGGATTACATGGTTCTCAAAATAAGAGAAATTTACTCAAGGGAAAAATGTTCTATGTAGAGCTTAGATGATTAAAGAAAATTTTGAATGATAATCTCTATAAACATAATTAATAGAAATAGAAACTCAAAAATACAAAAAACTCTAATAATCCAAAGATTTCAATTCATTATCAAGTTTACAAGATTAACCATTGTTTTGTGCAGCTTACATTTCAAGCACAATATTGACAACTAACATACTATTTTAAATAATTGTCAAACAGCCAATATGCAACATATAAAAGAGCCATTTTGTCTCACATTATAGTTTAACAAAATATAAAAATGTGGGAGAAAGCCACAGCACCCATCTTTACCTTTGAAGGAGGTTACATAACAAACCTAAATTCTTAAGCACTTGAAATAAAGAGGGTCATGATGCTTCACAAGCTATCAAATACTCAATCATGCTTTAGAGACCCCCACATCTTCGAACAAAGTAAATCAAGCCATAGAAGTTACAAGGAATTATATAAGTGTATCTATTTATTCCTATCTTTACATCTAGTTCCTTTGAGCTAATAAACATAGTATGAACCTAGTGATGCCTTCTTTATGTCCATCGAAGGTTTAATGAGGTCTAGTTTCAATAGATAACCTTCTTATGGCATTTGTGCTCAATGGAGGTTTGCTGAGTCCATAGAGTTCATTAAGCACACTTGTTGAAGCTATAGTACTTATTTCATAAACGTACTAAGGCCATTGTGTTTAGTGTAGACATATTAAAGTATTGTAAAGTGGAGTAGGTCAAGTGGACCAAACTATTATAAATTATAACTGACTAAGTCACGTGTAGAAAAGACTTAAGAATGACCAATTATCGAATGGAACCCATTGAAACTAACTTGAACAACATCTATCATCATGAAAATGCTATATGATTTTGAAAGAAAACAGTCTTACGTGTGAGAGAAAAACACTTGTACAAGATAGGGCACCATTTGCATAGTATTGAAGCTTTCGTGAGCATCTGCTCCAGCGAAGTTGAAAGTCTTTATTTCACTACATTTTAGGACTGTAATAATCCATTTTCGGACTGATAGTCACAAGATTTTAGGATGCACGATAAATTTATTATAGAAATGACGCCATGGCTACTAAAATGCATATTTCGGAACACACTGGGTACAATCGCTTAACAGCGATTTTCTTGGTTCTGGACATGATTTCGCAGAATGGAGAGTGTCGCCGTCGGGGAGTTTTATCCGCCTCGTCGATTACTTTCCGTGCGAAGACCACACGCCTGCGGTCTCTTGCTCTCTCTCTCTCTCGCCAGTTCTCTCTTTCCGGTTCTCTCCCTGGCTCTCATGATGCTACCCTCCGGAGCAACCAGCGGCGGCGGACTCCAGCGCCTGCCGACCTCGGACCCGAAGGTGCCCCTCTCCAACCTGTCGCTCCTCGGTCGGAGGATGGATGCCCTCCGCTGCTTCCTCGCCGAATCACTCGACTGCCACGCCGACATCGGCGGCCACAAGCTCCAGGAGGTGTCCTCGGAGATCGCCTCCGTCCTCCGGCAGATCGTCCTCAACGGCGCCGCCCTCCTCTCCCTGTCCCAGGTTGCCCCCACAGCTCAGGCTCAGGCTCAGGCTCAGGCTCAGGCTCAGGCTCAGACGGCGGCGATCTGTCCTGCGCAGGCGGAAGGGCCGGATCAGGCGAAATCTCTGGGCGGCAGCGTGGAGCGGAGTGAAGAGCACAAGGACAGCAGCGCGGCGGTAGACGACCGCGATGGTGGAGACTACGAGGTCGTGGAGATGGACGCGGTGGAGCTGCTGGCGGACCACGTCCACTTCTGCGAGATCTGCGGGAAGGGCTTCAAGAGGGACGCCAATCTGAGGATGCACATGCGAGCCCACGGAAGCCAATTCAAAACACTACAGGCCCTCACCAAGCCCGAGCTCCGGCGGGAGGCGAAGAAGGCGAGGAGGTTCTCCTGCCCCTTTCCCGGCTGCAACCGGAATCGGTCCCACAGGCGATTCCGCCCGCTCAAGTCCGCTGTCTGCGTTAAAAGCCACTTCCGGAGGAGCCACTGCCCCAAGATCTACCCCTGCACGAGGTGCCATAAGAAGAGCTTCTCCGTGATGACGGATCTCAAGAGCCACCTCAAGCACTGCGGGGAGCGCCGGTGGTGCTGTTCCTGCGGAACGAGCTTCTTCCGGAAGGACAAGCTGTTCGGGCACCTGGCGCTGTTCGAGGGCCACATGCCGGCACTATCAAAAATGGGCGGGGAAGGGCAAGAGGCGGAGCTGGAGAACGGAGAGGGCGGCCCCAATGCGAGGATGGATCCCGAGTTCTTCGAAGACCTGCTGCTGGACGGATTGGAAACCGTTGATCGGGCCGCATGGATGGATTTCTAGGGTTCCATCGGGACCTTCTTCCTCCCTGTTCTTTCATGTAATCAATTGTCAAATCCACCATCAGTCTCTGGCCGATCATTACTTCCATACGGTGATGGAATGAAATAAAAGAAGATTTTCCTAAGACTCGAAAAAAATTCTACAGCGCGCTCCAATTCAGGGATGAGATTTCTGAGTGCTCGACCTAAGAATCATCGAGGGGGGCATCAGAATCATCAAGCGGCTAAGCATCAGAATCTGGGCCATAAGGAAGAGATGTTCCATCCTACAGAAGGACATCGAGGGGGGGCGGGGCTTCTGTTCAATCCTATCGAAAATCATTACTTTCATGAAACCAGCAGCAGAGGATGGTAGCAAGCAAGGGTATGAGTGGAATCTAGAAACGTTCATCTGTGATTGGCGGGAACAGCCTATGCCTTGTCGTTGCGCTGCAAACCGAATCTCAGGCTGAAGGTCCACGAAATGTCTAACGCATTTAGACTTGAGACGATGCTGATAATTCAGAAAGACATTAGGCGACGGATTGCAAAAGCATACAAAGGTTGATTGCACATCCCACGGTTGAAGGATCCGGATCGAGCACATGAACAACACAGATCAAAACGCGTTTACCGCGCAGAAGTTATCGGAGATTTCTATGCTTACCCCCACGGCGAAAAAGTGTCTACTAGAATATGCGCACAAAAATGTCTGTTTTGCTGAAGAAATTGGTCATAGAATGGGCTGGAAATAGAACGGGTAAAACACACTAGTCACAAGACCAATTCATCACCCTTGATGTGCTACTAGAGAACATTTAGATTTCTAAGAAGAGGGCTATTCGCAGAGCAATCGGATGGAGCATCACCCCTTTGCGCAAGTTCTAACTTCGTGACCGGTAAAATCCTGTCTAAAATTTGTCACGAATGCATGTTTACATGACATGGAGAGCCCCGGCACCAATGGGGGCAGCAGAGGTTCTCACACAGCTTCGATCACATGAGATTCTCAAGGAATTGGCCATGCTGACGTAGCCTGCTGGAATTTCGACAATCCCGGCGATCCAAACTCGAGAGCGATGGGAACCTGATGCGGCAGAAAGAGGGGGCCGGAATTAGCGCAGTGCCAGTTGATTAATTATGGGCATAAGGGGCACGGTATCTTGATAATCCATAGCGAACAAAGCCCTGAACCAAGCTACCCCTGCACTGCAAATCTGACCACATTCCAGTGTGTAAGCAACGCTGCGGACTACCCTTCACACCACCAGAGATGTGACGATCCCAGCATGAAAGAGGATGATCCGTCTGGTCTTCTGACGCAATCTTCTGAGAAGACTGATGATCCTTCTAGTCTTCCACGTCTCTCTTCAAGAGATAAAGGGCAGACGAAGAGGACGTTAGAAGAAAACCGTGTCAATTAGCTTTCAGAAGACCCATGAAGACGAATCAACTCTTCATTAACGCATCCTCAGGGGGCACCGCTGACAGTATTTGCCTACTTTTTCTGTCGAGGTATTATAGTCAGACTTGGCAGTAAACTTCGTTTCCACGAACTATCTTATTTATTTCCTCGTTGACGAGTCCGAAGGAAGACGCAACGCGTGAAGCACAAAAATCAACTTCTACCAGCTTGATTTTCTCATAAACGAGCGAAGAAAGAGGGGGGTTATTCGCAGAGCATTCTACAAGGAAGAAAAAGGATACTATATCCGCATAACAAGTTTAAAAAATTGCGCTCCTTTTAGGAGCTCGGACTCTAAAGTTTAACAAGAAAGCGTTTAATATGATATAGTAGCACGACGAACATAAAGGAGAGGTGAATTTGACTTCTCATGATCTCTAAGAATTTTATAATTTTTTAAGTCTACTTACATGCAAGACTTGTAATAGTTTAGTCTGCCTGACCTAATTTACTCTTAAAGTACCAAATACTTAAGTTCTACTAATCTTTTTGTGAGATTACGTTAAACATCAAAGCTTCAAGATACTTTCACTAGATTTAACAACTTTGACCAATTCAGGCATTTCAACTAAAAATGCTACTTAAATGCCACTAGAAACATCAAACTATGGGACTTAATTCACATCAAGGAGGTCAAATGGAGAACCACCTAGCAAATCACTTTCAGAATCACATCTTTATACACCAAATAAAGGATCACCCGATTGCTATCTTCCAGAATCATAATTATAAAAGGCCAAATAGAAAGCACCCATTTGCTCTCTTCAAGAGTCATGAATCTATAAACTAACGGCTCTATGTCAACTAGAGTATCATAATTACCATGATACAACTATGAAAAAATTCCGTTCTAGGAGTGTCAACTCTTCAAAAATATCCGTGAACCAGATTTTGAATGCATAAGAAAAGGGTATGTCAGTATGCTAAATGAAAATGATAAGAGCACCTTTATATCTTTATAAACTTGTTTGAAATACAAGGTATGATGTTGCATTAACTTTCATGTCTTATATCTTTGAAATAGTAGATATATATTTATTCCAATTGGATGGATCATCACTCCATTGAAAATAAGTGTGTTAACATGTGATGAAAGACTAGTAAAAATTGTAATGCAAAATTGATCTGGGAAATGTGTTTTTGACTGCTCCACCGGAAATTCCCTCTGCCCGTAGGAGTCTGGGCCGTGTCTCAGTCCTAGTGTGGCAACTCGTCGCTGTCTCGGCTATGCTACCGGGGGTTTAATCTCAAAGTAGGAGAAGTCAATAGTAGTTATGAAAAGTCTGCTCAGAACATTTTAGTGACAATTCCCCTATGGTTGATCAATTTTCTATAAGTTCTACCAACAAGTCATACTCTAATGGGTAGAAGTCAAATGCTTTGTAATATTATAAAAGCTATGGTTGATCTAAAGCAGTTCAAAAAAAAAAAAAGAAAAAAAATCTAGAAGTAACAACTTTTTCAATGTTTAGGTAAGCAATTAGTCGACCTCTCTCTCTCTCTATCTCTATCTATCGATCTATCTCTCTCCCCCAAATACTCTCCCTCCTCATTTCTTCAAGAGGCACAGTTTGTGATAATGGATGGCAGTCTTTCTTTTCGTTAAGCTTATAGATGCAAGAAATTCTTACAAAGAACATCCATTTCCTATGATAGGCTAATCGACATTCACCGTTAGAGACAGATTACGACGTTTGGATCAAAGGCCCTAATTGTTGATGGGTTCGTAGATCATGATGTACCTGTTGGCGATCCAAACAGTTCCAGATAAATTTCTGCAAACTTGAGTCAATCCATTGCCGAAAGAGTCCAGAGGAAATAAGTGTTGGCCTCTTTTTCTGTACAAATATTGGCCGCGCAATGAATGCATGGCAAAGATTGCATGATAAAGGCAGCAGAACGGAAAGATTCAGGCTTTCTTTCCACAGGCGGAGGGTGCCCTCTTGCTGGTCTTGGCACCCCTGCTCCGTGTAATTCGGAAAATCTCTCGGCTCTCCCCTCTCCAGCTCACCTAGACAGAGCTTCTCGGAGCCGATGCCACCGATTAGCCCCCTTTTGTCTCCCTCAGGCTAACAAGGGCCGTCCCCGCTGCCGGCGGCGATGTCGCGGTGTTTCAGCTACACCGCCGCCCGGGACCGGTGGTACCGCCTCTCTTTCTCCTCCGCGGGGCTCCGGTGCGCCACCGTTGATATCCATGGCGCAACCACCGTCCAGTGCTGGGTCCCCCGCTTCTCAGACCCATGGAAGCCCTCTGTCATTCTTATCCATGGATTCGGTGCCAACGCCACTTGGCAGTGGGATCCCCTCCTCCGTCCTCTCATCTCCAGCTTCAATGTTTACGTCCCTGACCTCCTTTTCTTCGGTGGATCGTTCACGACCCGACCGGAGAGGACCGAATCGTTCCAGGCGGACTGCGTCGTTGCGGCGATGGACGCGCTCGGTGTACGGAGGGCGAGCCTGGTCGGGATCAGCTACGGTGGCTTCGTGGGGTACCGGATGGCGGCGGCGTATCCGGATCGCGTGGAGCGGGTGGTGCTGTGCTGCGCAGGGGTTAGCCTGGAGGAGAGGGACCTCCGGACGGGTTTGTTCGTTGTAGACGACGTGCGTGATGCGGCGGCGATCCTGATACCCCAGACGCCGGTGAATCTCCGAAAGCTCTTGGCCCTCTCGTTTGCCCGCCCGCCGAGGAGAGTACCCTCCTGCTTCCTCTCAGATTTCATCCAAGTGAGTAAAACGATTTCCGGGAGCGCATCCCTCCTCCCTTTCGCCTGGCTTGATTCTGGACGTTTTACGGAGAAGTTCCCAGAAAATCTCTTCTGTGTTAATCATCTACTTGTGAGATCTTGTGGAATCATTTTGCAGCGATTCTAGCCTGAGGTGAAATATATTTCTACCAACTCGAGTTGGAGAATTTAAAAAACTGATTCTTTGCTTCCTCAACAATGGGCATCCCAGATCTGACCATGTCACCAGGTCCAATCCACTTATTTTTAAATGGAGATTGGAATATCCTCTAACTGGATGAACTTGTTTAAGCTCTACCTATTTTTCCTTCCAAAATGTCTTCTTACTGTTGAATTCTGAACGTGGAGCTTCCGGCTCAAGTCACGATTATCCACAGCCTTCGAAGCAGGAAGTTGCAGCCTCATTGTATTCACCCACACTAGGCTTTTTATTAGAAATAAAATACAGATTTGAATTGTGAATGGTTATTTTTCCTTTCAAGCAAATAGTGTATATTTTTTGTTATATGTTAAAATATATCACAGAAATGAGTATTACGAAAGCTTCCACCCATAAATTCCTTCATACCTTTCAAAATTTATCTTCTTTATCAACAGGTTATGTGCATGGACTATGTTGAAGAGAAGACAGAGTTGCTCCTATCCGCCATCAATGACCGGAAGCTTTCTGACCTCCCGAAAATTTCACAGGTGAGTCTTGATTCTCCTTCATACCATCTTTATCCTTGGCTGCCTGCTTCAATAAATCATTCCTTCTAGTTTTTTTTTTGTTTTCATGCTTTGTCAACGAATTTCGCCTCTTATACTCTAAATGCGAGCATATTTCTATCTCCATGTCCATCAAAGTTTGGATAAATGTAAGTCTCTATTTTCATCCAAGGCCATTGCATTTTTTATTGTGTGGAGTCAATAGTAGTGTTTTCTAAATTTGTGCTTCTGACCCCCACGTCCATCAAGGATGCATGAATTTGAGTCTATCTTTTCATTCAAGGTCAAAAATAAAGGTGGCACCAGCAGCAGCAGCAGCAGCAACGAAAGTTCCCTGAATTTCCGTTTCGTATGCTTTGGGCATTCAATATTATTTTCTAAATTTTATGCTTCTTGGCACAGCCGACCTTGATATTATGGGGGGAGCAAGACCAGATATTTCCATTGGAGCTGGGCCACCGACTGTGCAGGTCTGTTGGAATTTTGCCACTAGAATCCGTTTTCTCGACTATAATCTATCTGATTTAATTCTAGAAACTTTTTAGGCATCTGGAGGGAAACTCTAGGTTGGTAGTAATCAAGAAGGCTGGGCACGCCGTCAATATTGAGAAGCCGAAGGAGTTCTGCAAGCATTTGAAGTCCTTTCTGATTGATTCCCACCACAATTTCCAAATGACCAACAACAGGATTGAATGATCAGAAACAGCCGAAAGCTGGACAAATATTACCAATATGCGGTGGAGACAAACCACCAGAACCAATTTGTACCAGAAACGCAGATGGAGAGGCACTTCTGGTTATTAATGAAGGCCAAGTGAATAAATGCAGCCCCTCCGAACTGATAAAAGTGCCCTTTCTACTCTCTGGAACATAGAGGTCGAGATGTTGGGCAACTTCTGTTCCTAGTATTCGGTGCCATTGTAGTCTCATGCCAGGGACATGGGCGCGCTTGGGGCAGACGCGAAGAGAGGAAACAGTGGGGGTGGATGAGATTCTGAGGTGGCAGGGATTTAAGAGTTGGAGGCAGGTGACACTGCCCAGCCCAGAGTTATGAGTATGTTGAACTTGCAGAGCCGGTAATTAATGTAGACACAAAGGAGGACGAAGACAGAAGATAGTAGACGAAGGGAGAGGGAACGGAAAGGAAGAAGTAGGGGAGAGTAAGAAAAGCATAGGAACAGATTTTAAATGAAATTAATTTCGACTGGTCTAATATGAGAGATGCCTCACGAGAAATTGTGTTACACGTGTCTATCTGTCTTTTGTCGTACAGCCTAAATAGGTTATCTTTTTATCTAAGTTTTGAATTGTTTAATTAAGTTCAAAAAGATAATTCGTTCTAAAATGGGTTTGGGTTTTTGTATTATAATCATATTACAGTTATAATAACCTTGTTCTGAACTATTCGAGGTAGATTCTAAACATTTTCCAGAAGTTATGATTTATAATTTTCCAACAAACTTGTTCTATCATGATGACATAAACTTCTTGGCTCAAAAGTTTTGACAAACAGTGTATAAGTTTTGGTTATGGTTTGATGAAAACTGCTCCTGTTAAGGGCCCTAGATAGGTCTTTGATTAAAATAAACTTACATTCAATCTAATCTTAAGCTGATTTTGTTAAAATTCAATTTCACCTCAAAATATTAGGGACGGCTGCCAAAAAAAGAAGGTTGGGGCATGGAAGAGAGGGAGGGCATATGGGGAAGAATGATTGTTGTATAAGTCATAGAGGTTCCACATAAATGTATATTAAATGGTTGTGCATAAACTTTAGTCTCACTAAGTATTATTTAATTATAAATTTTAGTTGATGCTTTCATTAAGAATACTTACCTATAATTGATATTACATACATGCATACTTGATTCAATTTTACAAATATTATATTCTTAAAAACATTTAAAAAAATATTTAGCCTTTTTTTAAAATATCTTTTATTTCATTTTACTTCTGATCTTTTCACCATAGAAGTGAGGAAATTGTTGAATCTTAAAGACACGACTTTGATGCTTGTAAATATCTAGTTCCCCAATAGTGCCAAAGACTTGAAATAACCAATGTATCTAGTACATTGCAATATAATAGACTACAAATCATCAAAAGATTAACCACTTTATGTATGACACAACTCTTGAGTAAAGTTCTTGTCATTAGCCCTAATGAAATTATTCTTCTATTCTCTTAGGCCAAGAAAGTACTTTAATTTAGCTCAAATGGGAATATAAGGGCTAATATAGTGCACCATGAATAGTAGACTTACTTAATGCAGGAAAAGTTAACACATCTTGGTAGCTTCCAAGCCCCTTAATATACTTGGGGCTACCTATGATTTTATGTCAAATACATGTTAGAAAAAAAAACAAGCAAAAGTTGTTTTGTTAACTTGATTGCATGGGAAAAAAATGGCTTCTAGGGAATGACATGTCACATCATACTGATAGGATTTGCTTTGTGTCCTCTCCTCCTTTCATGCCTCTTGTATTTATCATTACTTGGAGGAGAATCTTCAAAGTAAATTTATCAACTTATTTAGATTTAATTTCTCTTTTTTTTTCATTAATCTATGAGAGTTTTCTCTTTTGAACTTCTTAGTATTTCGGCTACTTACATTTTGTAATACTTTATTTCTAATATTTTAATGTACTATATTTTATACACAACTTCTTTTGTAGGAAAATATGAATCCTGATGTACAAATTTTTCTGTAGCATAATTTTATATATTAAAATCTCAGACAATATTTCATCATTAATGTAATAAAAAATAGATTTTTCGACTAAGCAACAGAAATTTTATTTACTGAAAATCTAAGGCTTCATATGCATGAAGTAAATTTTATCTAATGATGAAGTAGCTTATTATACTATATTATTCTCATAATTTCATATGCTTAAATATTAAGTGTCATATGTTATCTTATTCCATACAACTATTTCTCATATATATCTATATATATATATATCTTTGCGTTCTTGCAATTGTAAGTTATGAGTTTTCACTTAAGGGCATATGTGATTTAATAGTATCTTTAATTGTTCTTGAATTTGCATTAGATTTTTCTATGTATTAGTAGTTATTAATGCAACAAATACTAAAAAAGAAAACAATTAAATGGCATTTTGCCATTATAGACTTTTGGTAATCTCAATGCTCATTTGTAGTTTACCATTGACACAAAAAATTCAGACATAAGAGTGGAAAGTACAAGATATAGAGCTTTAGATGGCAATATATATGTATAGATATATAGAGAGAGAGAGGGGAGGAGTTGAGGAACAAGTGGGAGTATTGTCATAAAGGTATATTAGCTTTTTGAGAGTTGTGTCTACGGTACAGTTAATTACATCTTAAATGGCTAAAAAATAAAGGTACACAACAAATCCTAGTAACTCGATAGGTTTCTTCAGGATTAAACATGTTAAACACTTTCATTTGTCAAGTTGATAATAGTTGAGAACGTGGTAGTTAGATGTCAAAATCTCACCATTATCCTAGTAATAAATGCCAAAATAAAAAGAGTGATGTTTCGCTATGCTCTATAGGATAATGTTTGATTCATTAAACACAATATTTCACATTAAACAAGATCTCCGAGAAAATCTGCAGGAGGCACTACAAACATTGACTTTTGACCATTTAATAGCCATCACGTTATAGACGATTATTTAGCCCATTAATATTTTGAAGATAATTGTTTCAAGCTTGTGCAGCCTAGACTTACCTCTTCGCATTTATCTTATTGATCAGTTTCTTTTTGTGAGCCTTAATTTGTAACTTATTTTCTTATTCCTTGGTCCTCTTTTCAGCAACATACAACGAAAGAATCCATCTACCGCACACCCTCTCTCTGTAGATATATATAGATATATATATATATGTATGTATATTTCTCGTACCTTTATTTTATTCAGTAGGGCTACATTAATGGGGTCTGCCTTCGGGATCTTGGAGCATCACGCCTCCCACCACATGGTCTTCTTGCTATCGCTACACGTGGCAGTGGCCCCACCGTAGTTCCTCGGACCACATCTGGAGAATTTCATCCAGTATACCGCCAGGCAATGGCAATGGATTACATTATTACCCTAAGACAAATCAAATTTACAGAGGAGGCTGGCCGGAGGAGGGGTGAACTCTGCTGCTGCTGGCGGCTATGGCTGCCGCGGGAACTTGACGTCAGGGTTCCTCACCGGCTTCAGCCACATTCCCGCCATCACCCGCGAGGACATGCTCCAGAGAAGGTCCTGACCCCCTCTCACCGGCGCCGCCTTCCCCTTCTTCCCCGGCCGGCCCATGCCGTTGGCCACCAGCCACTGCATCGCAGTCAGCCGCTGCTTCTCCCCATCCCAACCGCCGCCGCCCCTCCTCCCCGCTCCCCTCGCCCTCATCCCCCCCAGGTGGAGGCTCTCCACCTTGAACGTCGCCGCCACTTCGTCGTCTTGCCCGCCGCCCCCCGCCGCTGCTGCGGCCTGCGCGAGGGCCACCATGGGAGCACCCACCGTCTCGTACCTCCTAAGGGGGTCCCTCAGCTGGACGATCACCAGGATGGTCACGCCGGCGGCGGCGGGTGGTGCGATCCCACTGGCGGCCCAATCGTCGACGGGGATGGCGGAGGCCAGGGGCGGGTTCGGGTCGTCTTTGCCGGCGAGGGTGAAGATGTCAAAGGGGGCTTCCTCTTCCGCCATGTCCGCCTGGATCTTGAGGGCCTCCAGCGCCATGGCCTCGATCTTCTGAAGGGTGAAGGCGAGGATCTCCTCCGCGGCAACGGGTTCCTCCCCCGCGTTCCAGATGCCGGTGAGGATCCTCTCCTTCCTCCCGGTCTCCAAGGAGGCGGCCATGTTCTTGACGGCGGCGACCGATCTGGCGGCGCTGGAGGTAGCCCCCTCCTTGTTCCTACCGCTGATGACCGCAGAGGCGACACCTTCGAAGGCAATCTGCTCGGCGGTTTTCCCCATCAGGTCGTCCATTGAAGCCAGCGAGAGCAGATTGGAGCAAAGCTCCTCCGACCCCATCGCAGCCATCCTCTGGAAGATTTCGAACCCGCTGGCCGAGTTCTTTTGGTCGCGGAGGACCAGCGGCTTGGAGATCTGCATGGCCAGTTTGGGCGTCTCCTTCCTCGAGACCTCCGTGTTAAAGGCGTTCACGGCGGCCAGGTAGCCGCCCTCCTTGGTCTGGACGACGGGTCCCAGGCCCTTTCCGAGGTCGGAGACGAGGCACACGGCGGGGGCGTCCCCGTTGTCGGAGCCCCGGGGCGAGGTCGCCGTCGCGACAGACGAGTCGTGCCTCTTCCCGCCGTCCTCCAGGTCGAGCATATGGAGGAACTCTCTGGTCAACGTCTCTTCGTCCGCGTCCAGGCCGTGGGCCTCCAGTTCCGCCGCCGTCTTCCCCCCGGCGGCCTCGTCTTCTCCTGCGCGGGTCATCAGCGACTCCAGCGCCTCGATCTGCTTCGCGATGGAGTCGAGCTCAGTCAGCCGCCTCTGCTGGGCCTGGTTGGGCACCACCACTTCCTTCACGATGACCTCGCTGGACGCTGACTTATCATCATCGTCCGTTTCCTCGCCGCCGCCCGCTGGCGCTTCTTCTTCTTCTTCTTCATTCTTCTGCGCTCTTCCTCCTGCACCCTGGATCTCCTCCACTCCTTTATCGACCACCTCAAACTCCGGCAAGTCCTGGTCTTCCGGCTCCGATCTCTGCACCGACGGCGTGCCAGAGGTGAAGGCCCCCGCCGGCTCATCAAGGTTGAAGTCGTCGATCCCACGGTAGTCCAAGGAAGAAGACCCGTCCGCCACCGCCGGCATGGCGGGCTCCAGCCGGGTCGACACCCTGGGGCTGGTCACGCTAAAGGAGGACTTGGACATCCGCCGGCTGAAAGGAGAAGACGATTCCCTGGCTCTGCCGCTGGTGGATCTAACGCCGTCGGCCTGGTTGTAGATCCCAACGCCGCCGTCCTCCATTATCTGGAAGCCGAGCTTGAGGATCATCTCTCCACCCTTGGCCTTGCCTGAAAGCTTGAAGCTCCGGTCCCACTGCCGGACCCTCACCCCGTCGAGGTTCTTTTCCATGGATTCCTTCACTAGCAGGCTCAGGTCCACAGTCCCCTTCCCGAAATCGAGCTCGGGGGCGTCGACGGCGACGGTGGATATGAGGAAGGGGCGAGGCTCGAATTTGAGCTGCTTCCCAGAGCTCCCTCCGCCGCTGCAGTATATGTGGCAACGGAGGAACAAGGTCTCCTCGAAGTCAGCGCAGCCCTGGAGCACCCTGGACGGCATGGTCTGCACGGCGCCGTCTTTGGTCTCCTTCTTCCTCACGGCCACCGACAGCCGCAGGCCGTTCACGGAGGCCGGCAGTCCCTGGACGGCGATCACCTCAACCGAAAAGAGGCAACCCAGCCTCTGCATCCCAATGTGAGACAGCGCTCTCATCGGCTTCCATTTCCATATACCGCCCTTCTTCTCCCCCACGGCCGCCGCCTCGGCCTCGGCGGCGGGCTCCTGCTGGGTGTTTGTCCTGCCAGAAGACTGGTGGCGCTGCCGGTGTCGGTCGTCCTTGTCATCGTCCTCCTCATTCTGCTGCTTCGGGCGAGTGCGCCAAGGCGACAACGACATGCGGCGCCCCCGAGGTTTGTGAGGCGGTTCCTCGGCGCGGCGGCGGAGTGCCAGTTCCTCCCCCCCATGGCGGTCCGGCGGCGGTTCGGGGCCTGCCGACGTGGCCGCTGAGGTGCGGGGGAGCGCGAGGGAGGCGGTCCTCCGGGTTGTGTGAGACTGGTAGAGGGTCTGAGAGAGGGCCTCGAGCTCCTGAAGCAGGTGGGTATTGGGATCCCCCCTCTCTGCCATGGATGGCTGGAGGAGCAGGAAGGGGAGCAGCCGTTGGGGAGGTCCTCCCCGACCACTGGAGCGGCGGAGTTTTAAGGCCTTCTCCGCGCTGCCCAGCCTCTGGTAATGGAGCTGCCGCCGGCGGGTGTGGTGGGACCGGCGCGGGGATTTCTATGGAGATAACGGGTGGAGCGTTCGTCGCCTCTCCTCTTATCGATTTCTTGTGGCGGTGGTGCTTTCTCTCACGCCAAGTGGGGAGACGGCGGTGTGGGGACGGCGCCGTCCGCCGTCGTGGACAGCGACGGCGCCACCAGCCCATGGAAGGGATTGGGCGGAGGGTAACCAGACAGCGCAGGAGACACGGACGTTTTGCACGCGTCTGTCTCTGTCTCTACGTGGCGCTGTTCTTGTCCCTCTCCTCTGACCTACGGAGAGTCCAGTCATGTAACGGTGGCTTCGAGCCGAGCCGACGACAGCTGACGAACGCCCCCACGAGGCGCCCAGCGACAGGTCAATGTCACGTGCTCTCCCCCCCCAAATCCCCAAGCTTGTGAGTTCATCGGTAAGAGGGATCAGCTTTCATGTATTTTCCCTGTCTTAAACATATTCAATGGGTTTCCAAATTTCAGGTGAAGAAAGTCTTAGTTCTTTGTCATCCAAGCATTAAATAGTTGAATGAACACACCAAACTTATATAATGAAACACAAGGATGGTAGAAAATGGTCAGATTTGAGGGAAACATTCCAATGGAATAAAATCACACGGAATAAACATTAAAATAAATTATGCGGAACTTTGCAAGATTCTATTCAATTTGGGAATGTTGGATGAGTAATGAGATACTAAATATCCATAATGATACGATGTAAAGCTATTGATAATCTTGGATGACATAAGGAATGTATGCTCAAGTGGAGACATCTATCTATAAGAAGATCTAGTAACTGATGTGGATTACGGAGTTGTTATTTTTGGCTAATGGAGATGCCCTAACTTTAATGTTGAGAAAATATATAAAAGTGTAAGAGAGTAACTTTACATGTTCAGAAGTAATTAATTGTTACAAAGATGCCAAATTTATAAAGAAATTTAATTCGCAACCTTTATCTATTTTTCATCATTTTTCAATGCAAAAATTCTAAAATTATCTAGAAATTTGGAATGGTCATAAACCAATAAGGCACATCCTTTAAACTCCAAGGTTTATGAATATGCATCATCATTAAGTATTAGCATATATATTTAAAACTATCATGTTAAACATGTCCAAGTAGGATTCTCTTACCATTAGAATAAAACGAAAAATACATATTTAAGTAAACTAATAAATTTTCAGTCAAACTAAACCAAATCACCTCAAATATGAATATGAATTAGACAAACTAAATCATGATTTACATATATTACATCACCACTTTGACAACTTATGTATACCAAAAAATCATTTTTAATTAATATTCAATAGTATCCAAAAAGGTTTGAATGGTTGCTTAAGTACTGTGAATTCAATGAACCAAGTCTCTATCAAGAAAAATGGTAAAAACATATTTCAAATCATAGCCCTTTATTATATTGATTAGACTTCATACAAATATTTTACTTCAACATTCACTTCAAAATCAATATGAAAATAATTACTTTATCTCTCATATTTCTAGCAGTAATAAATATAATAAATTATTTAATTGGAAAATTCATCATAATTATAGGATTCAAAAATATGAAAATCACATACATTCCTTGAAGTACCTACTAAACACTTAATATCGTCAATATGTATTGTCCATGAATTTATGCTTAATTAATTTTGTCCACATGTTAGGAAGTTAATTTGTATTAGGTGTAATGAATAATCAATATAATTTGATATATTTATATCTCTTATGTGTTTATTATCATCAAAACCTTAATTCACTTGAAGCGAGCAAAAGTTACAGAGAAATAAAGTTAGTTGACTCACTTGGTATGAAATTTTCAAGTCTCTTAATAAGTTAATAAGATAACTCACTCCATATCAATAAAGTTTAACATGATAAGTGACCAAGAAAGTGAGTTAATTCACCTTTTAATGACCAAACGAGTGACTAGAAGGTAACTTAAACTTTGGTATTTTACTGTTTGTACTAGAGAGTGGAGTAGGCTAACTTAATTATTGGTTCTAGAAATGGTCAGAAACTACAATTTAGATAAAAAATTTGTAGAAAGACCAATTTACCTCACAAAAAAAAATAAAAAAAATATATAATAAAATTAATTCTTCCATTTCATTTATCCTCACATTAATAAAAGATTACCATCTAGTGTACCTTGGAAATAAATATTTCCATCTTTCTCCTAAGGATAAAATGTTTTTGTAATGGAATCTAGGTTGCAACCACTATCAACTACCTCAAGATAATGGGATAAGCAATTCAAGGTGGGTTTATATCTCTATCTATTAAATTCACATTTGTACCTTTCTTACTAGATGCCACAAAGGTTGGAATTGAGGGTTGAGGATATTTCAGCAATAATGTTGGAACTCACTGCTGGGAGAGGATCTAAGGGTTGAAATCCCTCTCCCCTTTGTCCCTGCTCTATAATCAAATCATCAGTGTTTATTGATGGTCTATATTAATGGGTGATCACTAATGACATTTAAATGATGGCAAATGAGAGCTAAGACATTTATGATTTGGCTTTGACACCAAATATGCTTCATAGATATTATTGTATTGCATGAAACATGAATCTTCTACTTATATCAAGAGTAATAACTTCTATATGCTGTCATAAATTCTATCTTGATGAACTCGTGTGATAAAAAAAAAACAAAATCTATAATCAACTCTTCATGTAAATATTGAAGAGGATTATGTATTATTTGCCATATTTCAGAGGAATCCTATGAATTACATGCTTGAAATATTTCAGAATTTTGACAATATATTATCCTCTCCTTCCCAAATGTTACTTAGGAGTTTTGGATTAGTCGTAGGAAGAAAATGTCTTCACCTCATTACAAGCAGCGACTCATAAGTCATCTTACTTCATATGAAGAAGATAAGCTCATAGTAGATATTAGTGCTAAAAGATAAAATATAGAAAATATAGTGTTGTGATACCCACAATGGCATGTAGTCATTTTATGTCACTTATTAACTTTTCAAAGTTTTATATAACATGAGAATGTTATCACATAAAGAGATTGATACCCCAAACATGTAGTAGAGAGCTCTAAATGCCAAAATTGTAACTTTTCCTTACATGAAAAAGAGCATTACTACAAGTCTATTATTACAATATAACCTTTTACAACTATAACTAAAATAACCATGCATAAATAAGCTATGATTTAGATTTTATGAGCACTATCTGCTTCTTCCATTGTAGAGTTATACTAATGCACACCAATGCATGGTTGTCAATCTAAAGGAAGTGTCTTGTGTATATTTAAGCCAATATGGAGTTATTGATTCACAAAATGTGTTTTAAGAATGATTTGGCTATGCAAGAGCTATAAATTTGGAAGGAACTAACTAAATTCTGATTATAATCATTAGATTCAACAAACATGTCCTAGAATACACCAAGCAAAAAAAATTGATAAAAAATTATTTCAAATCAAAAGTTTGGTGGAAGTTGTAAAAACAACCCAATTAACACTCCCTTGGTTCCTTAATTATCCTATCAATCTAGGAATATTATTTCGTTAATTAATAAATTTTTAGACATTCATAAAGAGTGCACCCATAGATGATGATATGTAGCATTGTAGTATGACAAGGTTATCAAAATTTTTCTCATTATAGAGAAATTAATGAAGTATAATTAATGACATATCCATCCTCCTATATGGATAGCTTTGCCATAAAAGAAATTCAATATTTTAGACTAACACAATGTTCTCACTATGATGACATACATAGTAGGATAATTGGGGTCAAATGATTAAAAAATACCATTTTAACTTAAGCAGAGTTCATGAAATAGAATGCAAAAAACCAAGAGATATTTTATAAGTATGTCATGAATTTTTATTAAAATCTACATATTATCCTTGAGAAAATAATGTTTTAATCCTTTGACTATAACATAACACTATCCAAGCCATGGGCTTGAGAATTTATTTTTTTTCTTTTCTACTTTTCCATCTTTCTCACAGTCAAAAATTTATTGGACATAATGGGCTAATAACAATAGGAACATGACAAAGACCCATTACACAAGGTTTTAAAAGGGATAAGAGAAGGAGAGACAATAGAACAGACAACACAGTGTTGTCATGATGGTGGCCTGATAACTTCCACAAAGAACTCCCTCCTATTCTTGTTTTCCATAGAGAACTCCCATTTACATGCAATTCTATTGTTAGTCAGTGATTGTCTTAGTTTTTCCTCTCCCTCCTCTACTTCCATAGGGAAAATATTCTATACTTTCGTTCTCTACTAGGTTAAACAATAGAGAACAAAGATTTGTTAATATTTTCTTACAATGTTTTAATGATATGAATTGAGTACATGTTCTTTTTCTCTAGAATCCTTGGGTTACACAAGGATTCTAGTTCCATTTTTGTTCCTTCATTCCTACTTTGCCCCTATATTCTTATCCACTAAGTGGGTGACACACTTGATGAAGAGGATGTGATTCTCAATTTTTTTAATTTATCTTTTGACAATTTCCAAATTAATCCAGAACTATAATCTAATTTTTCCATCATGTTTTAACTAAAATGGAGGACAAAGTACTTAATTACTATGTTTTGACAAATAATATTTATAGAGACGGCCTGAATCAACTATAATTATCATTTAATTATCTATGGAATTAAACGTTATAAATTTCTAATTTTGTGTTTGATAAGTAACTATTTAGACACTTTAGTAAATTTTATAATTTTCTATATTTTTGGGTCAAAGTTCAATATCTATAAGTGGTACATATTTCAAATAAGTATAATGTTTTTTATAATTAATTTAGGTCATCTAAATAAGTTTATATGATTTATAATTTGGGTAAAAAATTCAACCATGAAAGTAAC